ATAGAGCCGAGGCTCAAATTAGAGCCCACCTCAAAAATTTCACTAGAAGAGATTGTTTTGATGCCCAAATATCCTCAAATTGATCATCTCGACATCAAGATGCATGGATATGAGAAAAAAATGGATTTCAAGTGTGGAAATAGTGTATTTTGTAATGCATTTTTGGACCGTCAATTTTCAAGTTTTCATAGAATTGTCGATCTACACTATTTTTGAAACTTTAAACTTCATAAATAAAGATGAAAATATATTTTAAGACTATCAAAGATTTCTAGTGTTGAAACCACATTTCTCGACACTATTTGAAGGTAGGCTCTAATTTGATTGTTTAGAACCTAGGCTCCATACAAACCGCACCCATACACATACACACACACATACACAATCTTATTAAGGAGTTCCATCTAACGTTTCAAGTTTCGAAAAAAAAAAAAAAATTAGAAGTGCTAAAATTAGATTATCTAACATGTGTACATGGGGTGTGTTTCTTTACTCATATATAGAGCTACTAACCTGAAATCTTGGTTCAGTTTTCCTGACACCCAAAGGTCCTATTTCTTTATATGGTCAATGATGTTTTCTGTAACAAAAGGAAGAAAAGACTATGATACTTACAGAGGTCACCCCTGCTAAGATTGCAGGAACTTCATAAGAAAGGGTAAGCTGAAACCACAAAATTTTCATTGGTAAATGCCCTTTTCACATGTTATGTAAGAAAAATACATGTAAATGATAATGGCATATTGGTTAGACTCAGATAGCTTAGCAAACCATGCTCACTTCAACTACGCAAGAAGATGGACCCTTTGGGTAAAATCTCACTGCTCCTCTGCACAGAAATAACCGGCAGCCATCCTTATTTGACGAACAAACCGTTAGTTTAACAACTTCAGCTATTATAATTATCTTCTGTATTTACCTGTTAGGGACACCATCTAGTGAACGCCAATGAATTTTTTGATTAGGAATGGGCTGCAAATTAAGCATGTGAGACTTTGGAGTAACAATTTCAATAATCTTTGTAAACATAAAAATACTAAATTAAATGATAAAAAACACATAGAAGTGTTGATTCTCAAAACCTACAACATATGAAGGAAAAGATTATAATTCCTCACCTGTAAGTTACGAGAAAGCCATTTGAACTCAAAATCACGACCAAAGGCACTATACTTCATTGTCCATCGCGATAAATCAGGTTTATCTTCCAACACCTGTTGATTGATTGATTATTTTTTTGGAATACCTGGCGGGGATCAATATTTATGATCATTTGTAGATAAACTACATCTTTGTTATGGTTATTAGGAAAAGAGAGCCTACAATTGTCAAAGGACAATCATAAGGTTGTCAATAGTGTGACGTTCGTAAAAAAAAAAAAAAGTTAGAAATAAAGATCTACTCTACAAAATTATAGTGGCAGCAAAGATTTTATTTGGCAGGAGAATAGTGAAAAACACACATTTGGTAGTTTTGTAAGACTTTATGTGAAAAGCACACATGTTCTAAAATGGGTTTTGTGGTTCATAATGATGTCAATAGTGTGAAGTCTCTAAAACAGGTAATCATTTAAGAAAATAGGTTAAACATAAAAGATCATCATCATCATCATAGCCTTTTCGCAATTAATTGGGATTGGCTATACGAATCCCGCTTCGCCATTCTGCTCTATTTAAGGCCATACCCTCAGTTAGACCGTAAGTCCTTATATCTTTTCGGACTACTTCCAACCACATCCTTTTGGGCTGACCCCTTGCCCTTTTCAATGCTTCCACTTGAACTAACTCACGCCTCCTAACAAGTGTTGTACTGGGTCAACGCCACACATGGCCAGCCTACCTAAATACACCCTCTTTAATTTTATCCCCCATTGGTGCCGCACCTAAATTTTTTCGAGTAGATTCATTTCGAACTCTATCCCTTCTTGTGTAGCTACTCATCTATCTCAACATCCTCATCTCCACTACACTCATTCTATTGGCATATTGTTTTTTGTCCGCCCAATATTCCGCCCGATAGAGCAAAGTTGGTCTCACAGCTGTCATATAAACTTGTCCTTCAGCTTCATTGGTATGTGGCGATCACATAAAATTCTAGTTGCATATCTCCACTTTGCCCACACAGCTCGAATTCTGTATGCGAGATCTGCCTCAATTTCTCCATTTTCTGGATTATCGACTCAAGATATCAAAAATGTGGCCTTTTTAGTATTTCCTAACTGTCAATCTTAACTACTTCCTTGTCTCTACTTCTATTTTTACTAAACATAAAAGATCCATTTTATAAAACAATTGCGGCAAAAGATTGTGTTGAGAAGAACAGTTAAAGAACATACATTTTGTAGTTCTATAATAAACGTCTGTGCAGTTCTTCAAAGTTATGAACTAAAGCCTACGAACTAACAATTTGAAATCACAACTTTTCATATTTTTCAAGCTAGCTTGAATAATGAAGATTAACTAGTGGGCATAAGGAAGTAGGATCCAAAAACATATAAACTACAATGAGTGGCTCCGGTCTAGAAGGATAACAAACATTCATATGGGTAAGTAATTCAATGAAATTTGAGAAATTTCAAGATCCTGTTCTGTTCTTTTGCATCAATTCCATTCAATCAAGGAGTTTAGTGACAGGTTTTGAATACATACCATGACAATCAGTGAAATAGTTTTGTGAAATGCAAGATTTGGGGCCATACCATGACAATCAATGAAATAGTTTTGTGAAATGCAAGAAGATTATTATTTTTTGGATAAACACGCAAAAAATTATTCAAAATCCATCAGTATACCAGGAGGCTTTCTTTTTGGCTTTCATGAAGTTTGAAGGAAATTTAAAATGATGAAATATTTTTAGTGTTTGTTTCATAAAATATATATAATGAAAGCTGAAAGAAAATATCTTTATAAAACACAAAATTCTAGTCCAAGTGCAGATTCTTTTCATTAAAGTATATCCAAGTGCAAATCAACTTACTTTAAAAGAACAAATTAAAGTTACTTTTTATTGTTAAAAGAACATATTCTTTTAGTTTAACAACAAAGTGGAAATAAATGATCTACAAACATCATGATGAATAATCCAAAACGTCCACTGGTTTTTCCGAATTGAATGAAGAAAAGATCAAACTGCCCTTTCTTAAAACTCATATCTAGAAAGAATCATTGTCGGTTGGTTTCTAAATTTGCATAAGGTTTCAATTTTTATCAATTCAGAAGTGGTGATTTACTTGTCTAAGTCTCTTATTGAGTAATGGCCAAGATAATGAAGAAAGAAACATGAAAGGTAGTAACAATTAACATATGAATAGAATGATTATTCTCTTGTATGAGAAATAACACTCATGAAACAAAAAGAACTACAACACATCAGAAAGAGAAGCAAGCAAAAGGCTATAAGACATTAAAAAAGGGAAGGCCCAAAGGCATAAAGAACTCTGTAAGGTGAATGGACAGAGTGTACCTCACATTAGGACCATAAAAATAAGAGCAGAGTTGTGAGAGTGCTTTTAGAGCAAAAACATTTCCCCCCACCTAAATGAAACCTCGCCGGAACAACCTCCAAAAACTTCTCCCTCACTTCCCATATCTCCATTGACAATTCACAATAAGCATTACCAGTTCCTGATATTCTAACTTTCTAAATTGTGAGGCTCAAAGCCGAAAAGGAAAGTCCGAAAATTTTGAACTTAATACTTGTAAATCCAAACTTCGAAAGTATTAATGACTGAAAGTTAAAGCGGTACTTGAAAAGTTGACACGGACAAGAGAAAAAGAAGGCATTAGATGGAGATTATTAATAATAAGCACCTTTACTGACGAAATCCATGACATCCATTTAGGAATGGCCTCACGATCAAGATAGAGATTATAAGCAACGGAAGCAGGGGCATCAACTTCAATCTTAGCTCTGCATCCAAATTCATCAAGGCTTGATGTCATACACAACACCAGTGGTTTATCCAGCATGGCGCAGTAAACTACATAAGGCATAGAGAGAGAGAGAGAGTGGGTGTTGGGTCATTTAATGGGAGATGGATGAGGCTTACTTGCAATCTTGCCAAATCATGAAAACAGGGGAATGCCTGAAATTGGTGAGATTTGCTCTTCTCTTATAAACAGGAGCTGGGATTCTGAGGAATGTTTGGTTTGATATCGGGGATTTTAGAGAGAGAAAGGAAGTGCAGAGCATCCAATTCCTACTTCCCCTGCTACGAGAGAGGAGAGTTGGCCATGCCATCCAGACGCATGCTGTAGACATGATCGCCAAGGAAGGGGGAAATAAATTTAGAGAGAGAAAGGGAGGGGGAAATAAATTTAGAGGGATGTTAAAAGAGAATTTCGGGCGGGTGATATCCTTTTGCATTCAACGAATTTTCAGAGCCGCATATTTTGAAAGTAGTGCGCCCGTTGTTGAATATTTATAGGGAAACCTCACGTTTGTTAAATGGAAAAAGTTTATATAAGGATGCAACCTTATAATGTAGAACTGCGGATTCACCTTAAAAATCATTACAAAAGGTGGTTTTAATGTTGAAAAACCCTCGTCTCGAGATTTATGACTATGAAAAATAAAAAAAAATTTAAGTTTGAAAAATAGTGCATTTTACAATATATTATCTACACCGTTTATTTTCAAGATTTTCATATCTTAAAAATCTACTTTATTTTAACTATTTTTTAAATTTAAAATTTTATAATTAAATATAAAAACATATTTTGAGATAATCCTAAGAATATTTTACATCAAAATTATATACCATGATAAAATTTGAGGGTGTACCTTACCTCTACAGCTATGAATGCATCCGTATGACAACTGCAACTTTGTTAAATTACACCAAAAAAAGAAAGACTCACTATGGTTTTATGTGAAAATAAGTGCTCTCCCATGAAAGAACTCCTCCATGTTTCACATGGATTAGTTCGGGGTATTTTTTTGGAAAATGTTTATATAAGGTTGTAATTTTAAAATGTAGAACTACCTAAAAAATTCATCCGAAAAGGTTGTTTTAATGATGAAATACCCTTTAATTGATTATCTCGACATCGAGATATATGAGTATGAAAAAAAGAATTTGAGTCTCAAAAATAGTGTATCTTACAACATAGTATCTAGACCGTCTATTTTCAAGATTTTCATATAATTATATATCTACTTGATTTTAACTATTTTTAAAATTTAAAATTTTATAATTAGATATGGAAATAGATTTTGAGACAATCCGAAGAATGTTTTGGACCTAAATTACATCTTATGAAAAAATTTGGAGGTGCACCTTAATTGGATTGTTTAAGGTTGCAACCTTATAGAAACCACACCCTAGTTTTTTTAGACTAATTGGCAGCTAGTTGGTGTAAAAAATTCCCACAAATTTTTTTATATAAATATATTTTCACGTGTACAAACGTATCCTATCATAATCCATATCCAATAATCCATCATGGAGACAACATGTTTGGTAGGACTCTTCGTCATCACCATCCAACATATTCATTGGAGACATCTTAACCTGTAACTTGAGAAATTATCAAAGGGAAAACTTACTATTTACCTACGCTCCTCATCTCTCAGCCACCGATCTGCATGAATCGTTGAGATGCCTCAATTGCAATGTGACATCTACATGCTATTTTATTTTTAATTTTTTCGAGAAATGATATTGGCACCAAATTTGGGCCGTCCAATTCTCTGTTAAGTACGCACCTACAAAAGTTATATAAAAAATCCTGATATATTAAAATGACCAAAATATTTCTAAAATTTCAAAGGTATTTTGATTATTTTATTTTTTGAAAATATGTTTTTAGGTGCGGCCAATTAGATGATGACACACTAAATTTCACGTCCACACGATTCATACAAAAAAATTAAAATAAAATACTATGAGTAAATCAAATGGTCACTAACTCACTTGTGACATTATAGCTGAAGCTATTCTAGCCATCCATTCAGATCGGGTGACTAAGAGATGAGAGACTTAGGTAAAATAAAAAAGGTGGGGATAAGTTTACCCTTTATCAAAATGCTTGCATGAGATGCACCATTCGATGGACTCCAGTTGAATATCTTACATGTTTGGAACTATTACAACTCATGATAATGTATTTTTTTATATTTTAAAATTAAATTAAACGACATTTATAAATTTCATATAATCATGACTTGTGAGAATTTTGATAAATTTCCCCTATAAACATAATGTTGGGAAGGTTTGAGGAGGGGGCAAAATAGCCGTTAGATTGCGCGACATGCACTATTGCATATCACTATGAATATGGAAATATTGGTGTGATGTGCATCGTTACACATGGTTGTTGGACTGAATTTGTTAAATAATCCAAATAAATCACAAAGATGCCATGGTAATCTTAATAATAAGAAGTTGGCAACTTATGACAATGAATTAAAACCCAATTTAATATCCGCACTGTAAGTCCTAAAAGCAACCCCTAACAAAGTAAATAAATTAGTCCAAACCGACACATGAATTTTTCCAAAATAAATATTAACCTAACTCTTGTGGCCTTGAATGCGATCAGCATCATCATATACTATTCTTTTTGGGGAAGTACGTACCATTATTATTTTGATATTAGCCTGTATTTCAATGATTAAGAAAAGGGAAATTTAGAGAAAAAAAATCTCATTTTATTTTGAAATTTAAAAGTAGTCAGCATATATTTCATAGGATGCGATAAGACGTAAACCTTGAACAATCAAAGTAAATGTACTTTTAATCATGCTAGAAGATGTAATATGTTATTAGAAACCTTTATGGTAGTTTAAAAATCTATATCTACCATAATTATGACGTTTATTATTTAAAAATGGTATAGATTAAGTAGATCTATGAATATTTTGAAATTTTTAAAAATAGATAATCTAGATAATAAGTTACAAGATACACTATTTTTACGATTTGAAATCTTTCTTTTTTTTCTCAACCACGTCTAGGGGTCTGTATGATTAATTGGAGGGGCTTTTCAGCATTAAAACAATCTTTTTAGGTGTATTTTTTAAAGTGTGCATTACTTTAATATTGTGAGGCTAACACCTTATATAATCCTATTGTATATTTTATGCTCAAGTTCCACATTTTAAAAGAGTATAACGTCTTTTAATTTTATTTATTTCTATATATTGGATTAAGCTCAAATTTGGAGCGTCATCATTACACACATGTAAAGATTACCAAAAAAGTAATTTAAATGAATAAAATTGCCAAAATACCCCTAATTTTTGTTGGGGCATTTTGGTTGTTTTTATTATTAAATTATTTTTTGTTTCTTTACGGGTATATGACAATGAGAAATATGGATGCCCCATATTTGAGCAATAATTTCAATGTATTAAAAAAATCCTATAGTTAAAATATACTATACTCTGAAAAACTGGGACTCGGAGTCAATATATATGAAACATAGAGGACTATTTTTATGTTCTAAAGACAAAATATAAGTTTCCTATAAAGTTCCTTGAGTAAATGTCATGGCCTTCTAATATAATATTCTAATATAGAAAAATCCCAAAAATGTTTTAGCCTTCTAATATAACATTCTAATACAGAGAACTTCCCTATATAAATAAAGAAACCTCCTCGTAAAGTCCTAGTGAATAGAATTTCCATTTATACAAAATTGAGAAATTTTTAATCTTTTGATTCTTTTATTTTTAATTTCAAATAACAACAAGAATTATAATTTTTTATTTTTCAATCATGTATTTTTTAGTTTTTTTTTTATAAATTTTCTTTTTCTTTATTAATCCATGTAACAAAACGGATGCTTCCACTCTTTTTGTTTCATGGTTGGGAGACGCCAATAGAAATTGTGCCTTTTTTCTTCTGATCCTGTTCCTACATCTCTCGGAATATCATAAGGAGGAAAGGAATTAATATAATTAATTAAAATTTCAAAGTTAGAAGACAAGAGAGCATGCTTCCTTTGTTTCATGCTGGGGAATGGCCATAAAAAACTCGTTCCCCCATTCACTTAACATTGATATATTAATTCCAAAATTCCACCCAAAAACGCCCAATTCGACCATTCCCTCCCAAAGTACTCGCCCATTCTTAACCACAGACCACAAAATATCCTCAAAAAAAGGCCACCAACCCAACACTGGGTAGCCCATCATCGGCACCAATCGAAGGGCAACAAGACCCATTTTCCTAAGGCTCCTCTCGCATGTCAGCCCGTCTCTTCGCTTGGTGGGCGAGGCGTGCATCCCTCTCCCTCTCGAATTCCCTATAATCAGCTCTCTGGAGAAAGGAAACCTTGTCAAGGTACTGGTTGGAGCTCTTCTTATAGACTTCTAGCTCTTCTTCTAAGCCCTTGTTCTCCTTGAACTCTCCCCAATCTTTCTTGGTCTTGTCGAGTACGCTTAGCTTGGGCTTCTTCTTTATTTGCTCAAGTATAGCATCAAGGCCTGAGGCTGGGGTTGAAGATGACTTCGCCTTCTCAGCTGCCTCCTTGGAGTCAGAGTCCACGAGCTTCTTCACTTCTATCTCCTCACCCGCAAACTCCCGGACCTCAGAGATCTGAAGGATAAACACTAAGTTGGAAATCATATCAATGCGTATTGGGGATTATTTGTTGACAAGTATATGAAGAGGAAAATAGCTGTTGAGGGCGTATCCATATGAGAGAGAGAGAGAGAGGGGGGGAGATATTAGTGAGGGTTATCTATGAGAGCAAGAGAGAGATTGACATACAAATTGATTTATGAAAGTAATATAAGAAATATTAACTTAATGGCTGTGTGAAAAAAGATGTAAGAATTGCTTCCAAGAATGATGCCTATAGGTTGTTTGCATGTGCATGCACTCGTGTGTGTGTGCAAGAGAGAGAGAGAGAGAGTCTCCACCCTCCAAGTGAGTATGAGCCCTGATAATCACATATGCAGGAGGATGTCGTAGAGCAATATCCATGTCTTAGTGGTTAGGGTCAGAGACATTTTTCTTGGTGTTCGTTTAAGTACCAGGATCCTGTACATAAGGAGGCATCAAAGCAGAAACCTTGGGGGCTGTGCTCAAGTAGATGCCCAGTTTGAAAAGGATCTCTCTCTCTCTCTCTCTCTCTCTCACTCATGAGATTAGTACCAACCACTACTTATCTCTCTCCCTCTCATGAGATTAGTACCAACTACTACTTACAGTCCTAAGGAAGACAAACATCCGTTGTGCCAAGCTTTACAGAGATATGTATCTACTCTGTAGGATGTATCCAAATAAATATAAAACCTGTTCCCTAACTCAACTGATGTACTAACCGGCTCTTTAGGTCATAAGGACATCAGATGTCAGTGGCTTACAGAGATATAAACACCCTTTATCATAAATCCTAAGATAGATAAGACCCCTTCCCATCACTCAATTGATATAATTCAAGGGTTACTCTCCATATCAAATGGTTTTCCATCACCAAGTTCAGTGTTTCTTTCATATTTAATGCTTAAAATTTCATTTTCATATTCCATTGTCATTCATAAAATGCATGTGACAACTACAAAACACGAACTGTGAACTGGTGAACTTTCCATTCTATTACCACGCAAAACAATTAAAAGACCAACGCTCCATGAAGACAAAATGAGAGCAATCCTACCTCAATTTTACCCCTACTCGAGGCAGCGGCAGCAGCAGCAGCAGCAGCAACTTCTTTGACAGCAGTCAGAGCAGCTGCAGCAATCTTCTTTCCCTCCTCCCTCGTGCCATTTTGTGTGCTGCTTTTATGAAGTGTGTCATTGCCAGAGACGGTAGGTGATGGCTTCCTAGATGCTAGACCAAGAGCGACCATCCAGTTCTATGCAATACAAGTTCAAAGTATTGTGTCAATTTCATATTGAAAAATTAAAAGAAACTGGCAAAAACTGGCAATATTACCCTTCCCAGTCCCCACCCACCCAAAAGATAAAAGTAGATAGATAGAAGATCTAAGTTTAGAGAGTAATTTTTGTATAGGTCAGCTTGATTTGCATGATGGAGGGACTTGACCTCTCTCACAAAAGTGGGAGTCTGCCCCAATTGACCATCAGGACCCAGATACCAAAGGAAGAAAATCATCTTCCCCTTCTTTCTTTAAGACCCATCAAAGGGTAAAACAAAAATATTATGTGATAAATGAAAAAGGTTTCGCTTGGTGATCGGGGTGCCAGGTGCATGGGTTACAATACAAATTCCAGGTTTGAAAATGTAGCTTTCCCACACCAAAAAGGAATAGTAAAGATACTCACTGGAGAGGCTTCATTTGATGTTTGACTTGGGGAATTGGGCTTGTTAAACAAAGAATTAGGAACTTTAGCTAATTTGTTGTTATTCATCTGCTCCCACAAAGCATTTACACGAGCCTCTCTTTCTGAAAAGAATAGTAAATGAATAAGCACGGTCATTCACATAATATGTTAGATCAATGATCACATGGTAAACTTCATTTATTTCCATAATTAAAGATATTTAACATTGATACAATCATCCAATTAAATTACCAAACGATTCCCATATTGAACCGAGTAATTAACCACATTCAGAATTGAAACTAACCATGGTCCAAATTCCAAAGGTACAATTGGAGTTCAGAAAGAAAGAGCTGTAGATGAAATAGACATAAGGGTCACTTAGTTCAAGTGAGTGTAGGAAGTTTAAGATAGCAGGGAAATAAGTAATCCGTACCAAAGGAGACAATACTCCCCTCATCATAAGAAGAAAAATATATATTTTGATTTTTATTAATTAAAAAAAATTACACTGAAAAAATATGTAGGACTAGTACAACAATGACAGCAGGAAAATAAGTAAATCCGTAGCAAAGGAGACAATACTCCCCTCATCATAAGAAGAAAAAATATATATTGACTTTTATTAATTAATAAAAAATTACACTGAAAAATATGTATTACTAGTACAACAACAGCCTTCTAACCAGAACATTCAGAATTCCAAAATGCAAATATGTTAATCATAAATGTTGGGTCCAAGGCTTTCAATAATATATCAATGGTTAAAAAATGCTCGGGCACCTACCAGGAACAGGGTACCCTCACAATCATTTTTCACAAAATCGTCCGATCTAACCACTAACCGCCCGGTTAGATCGGAACCCGCCAATGGCCGGTTCGGGTTTTGGGTGGTTAGGGTGATCAACTAGCATTTTAAAAAAAAAATGCATGCCAATTCTCAAATATAAGGAATTTGATTTGAAATGCATTTTTAAATATTCTTTACATTATGGTAAAGATTAAAAATTGTTTTGGTCATTAATACTCACTTTTATATTTTCCCATCGTTTTTAGAAAATTTTAAAAATAGCCCTTGGAAAATGTAAGGGTTAAAATCCATTTTTTTCATTAATTTTCAACTTCATTTGAATGTGTTTTGTTTTAATCATTCTTTATATACTTTTCATATTTTAGTAGATTTTTTTTACATTTTTTTTTTTTTAACATTTTTTTGACCGCCTAGGACTTGCCTGGTTAGAGTGGTTGAATCGGCCGGTTTACCGGTTAAACCGCTTCCAGGCCCATGTCCAGTTAACCGTTCCGGTTCGATTTTGCGAACACTGCTCACAATCCTCAAAAAAATTGCCCCCCACACCCCCCCCCCCTTCCCCTTCCCCCTTCCCCCTTCCCCCTTCCCCCTTGATATGAGTTTTCATTGAATTTATTTAGATGTTACTATGTTAGTTTTACGAGAAGACTTTACTCATTAAGACAACATATAATTAAGAATTTAAGAATTAAGATATATGATATGATATTAATTAAGAATTTAACAATTAAGATATATGATATGATATCATTAAGATATTAGTTTTAAAACAGTATGACTTAATAATACTTTACAATAAGACTTAATGAATATATAAAATCATAGTTTCACCTTGTGAATTAAGACGTAATTCATTAAGATATCACATAAATACATAATCAATTATTTATTAAATAAACAAATAATAGAATTACCAAACATGACACATTGTACAAAAAAAATCAACTATTCATAAAAGAATACAATATATGCTCAATTGCATTGTCCAAATGAGAAAAAAAATCAATTAATCACAAAAAAGCAATCTTTTACCTACAAACATCAAATATATCGTAAGAGAAAAAAAATTAAAAGAAAATACACATGATTCACAACATAATATAGTATAGCAAAATAAAATCAAAACCCTCTTTCAAATATGATAATACTTTAAAAAATATCAAAATAAAATCAATGTCGATGAAGACCTTGTCTATTGGGTCAACAAAAGTTCTCAAAATCAAGTACTAGAAGCTCCAAATCCACCCACGAACTATTGCCTTTGTTTTGGGAAGAAATCGAAAAAATAAAAATTTATCGATTTTTCATTAAATCATAAAAGAGTGGTTTTTGAGGGAGGTTTTCTCACCCTAAAAGGCCACGGTTTTGGTTTTGGGAGTATAAAATATCCCTCAAAACCCTTTTCTCCCCTAAAAAATTAAATTTTTTTACCTTCACCCAGGTTTTCTTTCCACCCGTCCGCAAAGTGTCACAAGGCGGCGCCTAAGCGGGCGCCTAGACAGTAGCGCCTAGGCGGCGCCTTGACCACCTAGGCGGTCGCCCAGAGATAGGGCGCATAATGACCTGCCCAGGCAGCGCCTAGGCATTTTTTGAATTCTTTTGCCTAGGCGGCCACCTAGACGGTCGGGCGGCCAAATTTTCAAACAGTGATTAATAGAAAATAGAAATCCTTCAAAATGCATTCTACCTTGGAAGTATAGTTTCCACATCATGAAATGGTGCAAGAGCACCCCGCCGAACAATCAAGAGTAAAAATGAAGAAATGAATGGTCATGATTTCATTTTGTTTTTCAATTTTTTTTTTTTTAAATTGTATTAAACTGATACTTGAGGCATTTACTCTTGTCAATCCGGCGCAAATGAACAAAATATACAAAAATAATTTGCAAAAAAAAAAGTTAATCAAAATAGACCTAGAACATTTGGGTGTATTTTTTATTTTAAAAAAAACATTTAGGTGTTGGTCAATGTTTCAAAAAACACCAAGCGGTGCATGGGCGCCCGGGGGGTCCAGGCCACCCAACGCCTAGGCAGACGCTCAGAACTTAGGAGGCCCAGTAGAAAGAAAAATGTCTATAATCTAACAGTATAACGATATAACACATAAGAGTTAGGGACTTAGGACACATCAAATGTCTATAGTACACAAGTCCACATAGCACATACACTCCTCCATACTCCATATCCAATTATCCATAGTCCACAGTCCACACATGGCGAAAACTTAAAATTTACAAACCAAAGTTACCAAACCAGGGGCATTTCCACCCCTGGGCGGGGCGCAGGCCCGAGGCTGCCTCCTCGGGCGGCTGCTTATTTGGGCCGCCTGGGACTGGGTGAGGCTGTCAGGCTCTCTAGACCGCCTAGGTGTTGGGCCATCTGCTTTTTTTAATATTGATTTTGATTAATTTATTTTTCACAATTTGTTTTACATATTTTTCAGGTGTGCCTGATTGACAAGTGTAGACCCCTCAAAGTTTCAATTGAATAAAACTCGTAGAAAAATATTTTGAAAACGAAATAAAATCATGGCCACTAATCTCATTTCCTTCTAATTTGGAGCTTTGGAGGTGCTTGTGCACCAATATGATTGACTGCATCACGTGGATGCTATGCTATTCATTCTACAATTACATACACATATTGATTGAACTTCCTGGTGAAAGCATGTGCAACTTACCAGTGAATCATACACACCACAGAAGATAGTTGACCCAGATGATGTCCCAAATCACAAATCAAATCTAGAAAAGAAAAGGATGGAAACAAGAGCCCCTAAGATGGCTCATAAGATATTTTTAATTGACCTCATAGAATCATGGCATGATGAGGGGCACATGACTCCATGGTATAGTAGCTGGGAGCAGAAGCGGGTGTGGTGTGGGAATGGGAGCCTGGGATCAACCCCTGGCTAGAGCATTGTATATCGGAAGCACTGGGAGTGTTGTTCAAGAAGCGACCCGACATATGTCCTGTATGTACATGGAAGCACTTGGGGAGTGCCTTATATTTTATAAATCTATAATCCACTTTTTCAGCACTATCTAAATTAATGGACAATAAGAACTCTATAACCTGAATGCCTAATAAAAATTTGAGAAAAATTAGTAGTAGAGCGGGGCGAGATCTGGCGATTCACTATAAACAACCTGTGCAGTTCCCTGGTTTGGGATCCTCCAGGACCAGGGCCACCCCCCTCCCCCCAGTCCAACACCACCTATGAGTTGGCATATTAGTTAATCACTGATGCAAACCATAACCATGACAACAAAAAGAAAAAATCACCAACAATTGGTCATTAGCTAGGAAATTGTCAACAAGCAATATATCACCACATAATCAAAGATGCCATACTAAAATTCAAAAACTTCTGAAACACACCTGGGGATCGAGATCCCTTCCATAAGGACTGCGATCCCTTTTAGTCAGGGATAGAGATCCCTTATCCTTACAAGGTAAAGATCAAGAACCCTTGATGGGTGAGGCAATTCTGCTTAGACTAAGCCTTCAGGATTGCCAAAACGAGATTCCAAAAGGCGATCACCACTCCTCTACTAAGCTTCTCACATCTATGCGCCAGACAAATAATATATGCACCTCTGCGGTGGAACATAGAGTCAGTTTTGGAGGAGGAACATATGTCTAAAACTTGATCCAACCAAAATAAGGAGCTTAATTCTAAAATATGTCTTGTTTGGCCAATTAAAGTCGGTTCATCCTAGCGGAGTTTGACAGATTGAAAATGGGGAGTCTTTTCCTTTTTAGGCTAAATTAGCAAGGTTTAGGGCCCATCCCATTTCTACTACTATAAAACAAGATATTACAATGGGATGCTTGACCAACATCCTAATCTTGGGGAACTATAAAACCTACTGCTGATTACAATGTTGGAAAGAACTTGAGATGAAAACCACTCAAAGGAGAGTACGATCAATAGAAATGCACCAACTCACTACAATTATCCCCCCTATTCAAGCACCTATGAAGTCTATAGTTCAGACATAACAACCTTCCCATATCAGTCTTCCTAAGTGATTATTAAGCCATAGGTTAAGTACTCCCCCAAAATTGGATCTGAGAAGAGACTAGTTGACAACCATGGGAGACAAGACAATTTTCCCTTCCCTGAGTACATAGATAAATGGAAGTTCTAAAAAATGCAGCTGGTCTAGATTGATTTGCACCAGAAGAAAGGTGAACTTCACCTGATCTATTTTTCCCAGTGCACCAAGTGATAACTAGTTGATCAAAATCAATGTGTTGGTAGAGCCCCTAGTCCTCACTATTCCTATTCCAGTATTTATGGCTGCG